ATATATATATATATATATATATATATAGATATATATATACATACAATATGTATGTATATATATATAAAATATGTATGTATGTAGATGTTGGTTGGTCCTAAGATAATTGTTACATTTTACTCTGTGTTTTCTAGGAGCCTGGGTAAGGCATCAAACCATCCAGAGAAGACGAGACTTCAGCCTGACAAACTGATCTGACCCCCTGACTGATCACAATTTCTTCAGCCCTCGCCTTGCCCTAAGCTCTGGACTCAAGGTACCAACTTCTTCTTGCATTCCATCTTTCCAGTTCACCTCCATCATTCTGTCTAACTTCTTTTCCTCTGGTCCCAAGTCTTGGCGTTTAGGTCATGGCAGTACCTAATGCCAATGAGTATCACTGGCAGAGCCTGGCACGACTGTCCAGTGGGCGCGTCTATCACACTCTGTCTGAGGTGGGGGGCCAGATGTACATGTTGGGGGGCTGCGATGCTTCGGGGAGGCCTTGCCCTGCATTGGATCTCTATTCCCCTGAGGTTAGAAAAAAACCTATTGGTTAGAGCTGTTCTTTGTTCACTTTTCATGCAAAGTTCCTTGGAAAAAGTTTTGTTTTAAAGTGTCTGTGACAACAAATTTCTGCAATAGATATGAATGCATCTTTGGAACAATAGCATTAATAATGTATTGCCAAAATAATTCAGTGCTGAAATGAACAGTTGTTGAGATATTTGCATTTGTAGTAACTGGAGGTGATATCAAAGAGGAATGCCTACATGTAAACAAAATTGCTACTGAAAATAATAAAATAATATGTAAAAGGAAGGCTGGTCTGAACACCCTTTAACAGGTGTGTAGTTATGGAATAATGTAGACCGGCCTTAACCCCAAAACATATACGTGAGTTCTTGTAACGGGCAGCACGGTGGCGCAACTGATAGAGCTGCTGCCTCTCAGCGAGCAGGTCCTTGGTTCAAACCCCGGTCCGGGGGCCTTTCTGGGTGGAGTTTGCATGTTCTCTCCGTGCATGCGTGGGTTTTCTCCGGGTACTCCGGTTTCCTCCCACAGTACAAAAACATGCATGTTAGGCTGATTGGTAACTCTGAATTGTCCCTAGGTGTGAGTGAGAGAGTTAATGGTTGTTTGTCTCGTTTGTCTCTATGTGGCCCTGTGATGGACTTGCGACCCGTCCAGGGTGTACCCCGCCCCTCGCACAGTGATTGCTGGACATGGGCACCAGCGACCCCCGTGACCCAAAATGGAAGAAGCGGGTAAAGAAAATGGATGGATGGATATTCTGCCCCCTAGAGTGTGAGGTGGGGATTGCCATCTAACAATGTCCTGCTTAAAATTTGCCATGAGAGGTAGATAATTAGTTTTATAGAGGTTCTTATGATCTGAAGTTACCCAAAGGCCAAGGTATTTACATTTTTTTAAACTAATTTTAATTGGTACAGTGTCTAAGATTTTCTTTTCTATAGAGACCACAGGCATCAGCTTACTCTTTGAAGATTAACCTTATAGCCAAATATTTTCCTGAACTTTTGAGTTAAACTCAAAGCAGTCTGCTCATCAGATAAATAATGTTAAATTATTATTTTTAAATTTTAATCCATCCATCCTTCCATCCATCCATTATCTTTTACCCGCTTCTTCCATTCTGGGTCACGGGGTCGCCGGTGCCTATGTCCAGCAATCACTGTGCGAGGGGCAAGGTTTTGGCACCTGTGTCAAATAATCATATGTTCACTCCCTCAGTAACTAATACAGCTTTTGACACCTGTGTCTTGAGGGGACAGCCTTCACTGTGTGATCTCTATGTTGATGATAAATTTACTTATTTTGAGCAGCTGGTACAGAAGTTTAATATACCACAAGTCACAGTTTTTCAGATATCTGCAGCTGAGACGTTTTGTGAGGTCTAATTCTGATTGTTTTCCTTTGTACTCCTCTAAACATTTTGTGGTTAAGATTTTGAAATGCAGGTCTGATACTAAGGGGGCACTCAGCAAGATCCATACACTGCTCAGTTCATACCATGAGGCCACTTTGGACTCCCTTAAACTAAAATGGGAAATGGACCTGGAGGAATCCATACCAGACTAAACATGGAGAAAGATCATTAAGAAAATTTGCTCATCCTCAATCTGTCTGAGACATGCTGTAATTGAATTCAAGGTGGTACACTGACTGCACTGGTCTAAGACAAGCTGTCCAAGATCAAAGCCGACCTGGACCCCGCATGCAATCGTTGTGAACAAACTCCAGCTACACTCTTGCATACATTCCGGATCTGTCCCAAACTGCATACCTTTTGGCAATCTATTTTTGACATCTTCTCTGGGATATGTGGGAGAACTGTACACCCATCAACATTCTTCTCACTGTTCAGGGTGGTCCCTGTGGATACGTCCTTTGATGAGAAAGATGTGATTGCTTTTGGCTCCCTTCTGGCCAGAAGACTGGTTTTGTGCAATTGGAAAGACCCCCCCCCCCCCCCCCCCAGCATATGTACAACGGATAAGAGAAGTGATGTATCATATTCATCTAGAAAAAACAAGATATACCCTGAAGGGTTCTGTTAAAAGGTTTTGGGACACGTGGCAGCCTTTTGTGTTGTATGTTGAAAACATGTCAGTGCCTGTGTAATTCATTTATGTATGTATGACTCATCTGGGGTGGGAGTTTTTTTTTCTTCTGTTCTTTGTGTTTTGTATGTTTAAAATGAAAAAAAAAAAAAAAACTTTGATTAAAAAAACCTATAATGTCCAAAGACTATCTTTTTGAATATCTGTGAATAGATCAACATAATCTTCCTCCACTCCTGGTTTGCAGAGTGATCGGTGGATAAGTTTGCCCTCGATGCCTACGCCTCGTGCTGGGGCAGCCGTTGCAGTGCTTGGAAAGCAGATCCTGGTTGTGGGAGGACTGGGAGAGGACCAGGGACCCCTGAAGGTGGTAGAGATGTACAACACAGAGGAGGGGAGGTGGAGGAGGAGAAGTGCTCTGCGGGAAGCACTGATGGGTGTATCCATCACTGTAAAAGGTATGCATTGTTTCCATACATCCATCCATTAATCCATCCATCAATCATTTTTACCCGCTTCTTTTCTGGTCACGGGGGTCACTGGTGCCCATATCCATCAGTCACTGTACAAGAGGTGGGGGACACCCTGGATGGGTTGCAAGTCCATCAGAGGGACACATAGAGACAAATGAGACAAACAACCATTTCCTCTCTCACACCTAGGGACAATTTAAAGTTACCAATCAGCCTAACATGCATGTTTTTGGTCTGTGGGAGGAAACTGGAGGGCCTGGAGAAAAAACATACAGCACAGAGAGAACATGCAAACTCCACCCAGAAAGGTCCCGGGGCCAGAATTTGAACCGGCAACGTTCTAGCTGAAAGGCAACAGCTCTACCAATTGAGTCACCATGCCACGATGCATTTTTTTATACCTACTGTTACTTTTTATTGGTCCTGCCAAGCAGTGGCCACCATCACAAGACAAATAATCAGCCACCAGAAAAACAGTCTTGTAGCTGCAGCTCCTCCATCAAATTCAAATTGGGGTGTGTGACCGGACGATCTATTTGAAGACCTTCTTTAATCATGTCCAATTTTGAGTAATTACAATAATGATTAATGAATAAATTAAAATGTTGTTATTTATTAAAATTTTAATAAGTGAAAATGTTTTGTGTATTATCTCGAGAATATTCTTTGACTTTGTGTAACAATACATAAAAACTGAATATGGGGTGAGAAATGTTGGTAAAAGTAAAAAAAAAAAAAGAATCTTTATTTCACCAATCTAACAAGGTTGAGTCAGATCCTCTGGGTGGGGACTTCATTGTTGAAATGTTTCATCTTTTATCCAAAAAGCTTATTTAATCTGAGGAGCTGCCACTAGGGAGCACAAGCCAGTGTATCGCTTGTGCCGGTCCCAAGTCTGGGTAAATGGTGAAGGTTGTGTCAGGAATGTCATCCAATGTAAAACATTTTTGACAAAACCATAATGCGAGTTCATCAGAGCAAAACCATACCGGATCGGTCGAGGCCCAGATTAACAACGACCACTACCAGTGCTGTTGACAAACAGGGTGCCGGCGGAAATTGTGCTACTGTTAGTCGAAGACCACGAGGAGGGAAACGTGTCAGGAGACAGAGGGAGAAGAGGAAAGTAAAGAATGTAGGACTGAGGGTTGCAACTCTAAATGTGGGGACAATGACAGACAAAGGTAGAGAGCTGGCTGACATGATGCTGAGAAGAAAGCTAGATGTTTTATGTGTCCAAGAGACCAAGTGGAAGGGCAGCAAGGCTCACAGTATTGGAGCAGGGTTCAAGCTGTTTTACCATGGTGTGGACAGAAAGAGAAATGGAGTAGGCGTGGTCCTGAAGGAGGAGTTGGCAAAGAATGTAGTAGAGGTGACGAGAGTGTCAGATAGGGTTATGTGACTGAAGGTAGAAGTAGGTCTGATGTTAAACATCGTCAGTAGTTATGCTCCACAGGTTGGATGTGATGGGGGGGAGAAAGATACATTTTGGAAAGATCTGGATGAAGTGATAGAGAGTATTACCAGGGAGGAAAGAGTGGTGATCAGAGCAGACCAGAATGGACATGTTGGTCAAGGAAACAGGGGGTATGAGGAAGTGATGGGTAGGTTTGGTGTCAAGGAAAGAAACCAGGAAGGACAGATGGTGGTGGATTTTGCCAAGAAAATGGAAATGGCTATATTCAATACCTATTTCCAAAAGATGGAGGGGCATAGAGTGACCTATAAGAGTAGAGGAAGGAGTATGCAAGTCAACTACATTCTGTGTAGAAAAGGAAACCTGAGGGAGATTGGAGACTGTAAGGTTGTGGCAGGGGAGAGTGTGGCCAGACAGCATCGGATGGTTGTGTGTAGAATGACTGTTGTTGTGAAGATGAGAAAAAGAGTAAAATCAGAGAAGGCCAAATGGTGGAAGCTGAAGAAGGAAGAATGTTGTAAAAAAATTCAGAGAGGAGCTGTTAAAGGCTCTGGGTGGTAAGAAAGAGCTTCCGAATGACTGGGCTACTACAGCAACAGTAATTAGAGAGACAGGTAGGAAGGTACTTGGTGTGTCATCTGAACAGAGAATGGATGATAAGGAAACCTGGAGGTGGAATAGTGAAGAGCAGGACGCCGTTCAAAGAAAGAGGTTTGCCAAGAAGAAATATGACAGTGAGAGGACTGAATATAAGGAGATGGGATGTAGAGCAAAGAGGGAAGTAGTTAAGGCAAAGCAGAGGACGTATGATGAGTTGTATGGGAGAATGGACACTAAAGAGGGTGAGAAGGACTTGTACCGATTGGCAAGACAGAGTTATCATGCTGGAAAGGAAGTGCAGTAGTTTACGCTTATTAAAGATAGGAATGGTAATGTTCTAACAAGTGAGTGATGGGAAGATGGAAGGAGTACTTTGAGGAGCTAATGAATGAAGAGAATGAAAGAGAAAGAAGAGTAGAGGTCATAGAAACTGTGGACCAGAAAATGGAAATGATTAGTGAGGGTGAAGGCCAGAAAGCTTTTAAAAGCGTAAAGAAGGGGAAGGCAGTAGGACCTGATGACCAGTGGAGGTTTGGAAATGTCTTGGAGAGATGGCAGTGAGGTTTTTGATGCAAATATTCAATGATATATGAGGGTGAGAAAATGCCTGAGGAATGGAGAAGAAGTCTACTGGTGCCCATTTTTAAGAACAAGGGTGATGTACAGAGTTGTAGCAACTACAGGGGAATTAAGTTGATGAGCCACACAATGAAGATCTGGGAGAGAGTTGTGGAAGTAAGACTTAGACGAGAGGTGACTATCTGTGAGCAGCAGTATGGTTTCATGCCAAGAAAGAGCACCACAGGTGCCATCTTTGCTTTGAGAATGCTGATGGAGAAGTACAGAGAGGGTCAGAAAGAACTCAATTGTGTCTTTGTGGATTTAGAAAAAGCATATGACAGAGTGCCAAGAGAGGAGGTGTGGTATTGCATGAGGAAATCTGGAGTGGCAGAAAAGTATGTTAGACTGGTACAGGACATGTATGAGGACAGCAGGACAGTGGTGAGATGTGTTGTAGGAGTGACAGATAACTTCAAGGTGGAAGTGGGATTGCATCAAGGATTGGCTCTGAGCCACTTCTTGTTTGCTCTGGTGATGGACCGACTAACAGATGAGGTCAGGCAGGAATCCCCATGTACTATGATGTTTGCAAATGACATTGTGATCTGTGGTGAGAACAAGGAACAGGTGGAAGAGAACTTGGAGAGGTGGAGGTATGCACTTGAAAGAAGAGGAACGAAAGTCAGCCGTAGTAAGACAGAGTACGTGTGTGAATGAGAGGGAGGCCAGTGGAACAGTGAGGTTACAAGGAGCAGTGGTCACAAAGGTGCAGGACTTCAAGTACTTGGGGTCTACTATCCAAGAAAATGTGGAGTGTAGTAAAGAGGTGAAAAAGAGAGTCCAGGCAGGATGGAATGGATGGTGAAAAGTTTCAGGAGGGATTTGTGACACAAGTGTCAGCAAAGGTCAAAGGAAAATTTACAAGACAGTGGTGAGACCAGCTATATTGTATGATCTGGAGACAGTGGCATTGATAAAAGACAGGAGAAACATCTGGAAGTGGCAGAAATGAAGATGTTGAGGTTCTCCTTAGGAATGACAAGGATGGATAAGATTAGGAATGAGATCATCAGAGGTACAGGACATGTTGAACAACTGGGAGATAAAGTTAGGGAGGCCTGACTGAGAAGGTTTGGACATGTCAAGAGGAGGACCATGGGTATGATCCCTCGAGGACCCTGGTGAGGGTAAAGAGAGCTGATCTAGCGTTCCACAGCCAGGACGGAACCAGCATTGTTCCTCCTGGATCTGATATTCGGCCAACGATTGGACTCGCTTCTCCAGTACCCCTGAATAGACCTTACCAGAGGCTAAGCAGAGTTATGCCCCTATAATTGGAGCACACCCACCGGTCCCCCTTTTTGAAGAGGGAAACCACCACCCCAGTCTGTTAAACCAGTGACACTGCCCCCAGTGTCCACATGATTTTGCAAAGGCGTGTCAACCAATACAATACATCCTAACAACATCCAGAGCCTTAAGGAAATCATGGTGAATCTCATTCACTCCCAGAGCCCTGCCGCTGCCCAGCTTTTTAACTAGCGCAGTGACCTCAGCCACAGTTATGGACAGACCAACACCAAAGTCCCCTGGCTCAGCTTCCTCCATGGAAGATTTTGCTGGTAGGATTGGGAAGATCCAAGAAGTATTTCTTCCACCATCCACATCGCTGGTTAAAGTCAACAGCACCAAACCTTCATTAAACACAGTGTTAGTGACGTTCTACTTTCCCCTCCTCAGCCGCCTGATGGTTTGCCAGAGTCTTCTCGGAGCTGACCGAGAATCTTTATCCAAGGCTTCGCTGAACTCCTCCCACATCTGAGCTTCTGCCTCAGCAACAGCCAAGGCTGCAGACCACTTGGCCCTTCGGTACTCCTCAGCTGCCTCCATAGTCCCACTAGCTAACAAGGCCTGACAGGACTCCTTCTTCAGCTTGACAGTCTCCCTAACCCAGGGTGTCCACCACCGAGTTCTAGGATGGCCACCACGAGAAGTACTGACAACCTTGTGTCCACAGCTCAAGGCAGCTATGTCAGCAATTTAGGCGCGAAACATATCACACTCGTACTCAATGTCGCCTGCCTCAGCTGGGATGTGGTTAAAGCTCTCCCGGAGGTGTGAGTTGTGGGTTTTCTGGGGACACCAGGGGGCGTCCTTGGGGGAAGGATACTGTAAGGATGGTGCCCTCTGGTGGCTGGTTCCCATCCTTACACTCCCTGGTTTCAATGTTAATAGTCCTGATTGTTCCCACCTATGTGTCCTGTTCATGTGTGTGTGATTGTTACTGTGTGTGTGTGTGTGTGTGTGTGTGTGTGTGTGTGTGTGTGTGTGTATATATATACATTAAGTCTGTGTCTTTGTGTTACTCATTGTCTGGGTATCGTCTTGTATTCGTCTAGTACTTGTCTAGTACTTGTCTGGTTTCCCTCCTCAAGTCTGGTTATTCCCTCATGCCATGTAAGTGTTTTGCTGCCTCGACAGCGTATTATTTGTATTCATTAAATTGTTTCTTATTTTCCGCCCTGGTTCTGAGGCCTGCCTGCACCACTGGGTTCTGCTCCAAAAACACTAATCCTAACACAAGTTAAATAAGTATAAACTTGATTTATGACAGTAATGTACATCTGTACTATTCCATTCACACTTTATTGGGTCACATATTTATTTGTACTTGTGTACTCACCAAACATAAATGTTAATGGTTCAATAAATGCAATGACAATATCTGCTAAATCCATTTGTCCTTTGTTTAACAGATGGCCGGGCTCTAGCTGTTGGGGGAATGGGTGCTGACCTCCTTCCTCGTAGCATCCTGCAACAGTACGATCTCCGGAAGGATGTGTGGGCACTACTTCCTACTATGCCAACCCCACGTTATGATGCCAACACACATCTTATTGGCAACAAACTCTACGTTGTTGGTACTAATCCACTTGCACAGTGATATTGGCTTAATGTTTCTTTCTTTTTTTTTTTAGGTAGATTTAGTAATATTTAAATCTAATGATCAAATCTTTCTTAAAGGTGGCCGTCAGTGTAAGCGACCGGTGAAGGCTTTTGAGGTGTATGAAACAGAAACACGCTCCTGGAATTCCTTACCCAATCTCCCATGTAAACGTACATATGGGGGTGTTATATGGGACTCATATGGGAGACTGTGTCTGCTGGGGGGACTGCGGCAGGGTGGAGGGCACCAAAGCTCCAAATTCACCAAGAATATCAACATCTTTGATACCAACCAAGGTACAAAAACTAAACAACACTACATTTTCCCAACTAGCCCCATTTGTTTATTATCCTTTGTATGTTCCCATCTCTTTAATGTATCTGTCTTGTGGTGCTATAGTGGCTCTAAAAATATTGTAACACTGTGCCATTGTGTAATCACCCTCCAACCCCATACTGTATCATTCCTTGGTTCAATCCCTCCCACCCAAGGCCAGCCCATGGTTGTAAATCCCCTTAGAAGGATTCCAATTTGGGATCCCCTTTCAATAATCCTATTATTGAAAGAAGATCACAAAAGAAAGTGCTATGTGTTGTCATCATTGAACGTTTCCATAGAATGACTAAATTAGTTCTCTGCATTTAACCCATCACACCTGAGATACAGCCAAGTCGAGCAGTGAGCAGTTACTTAAGTGCTCGGGGAGCAGTTAGGGATTAGGTGTCTTGCTCAAAGACACCACAACATGTGGGCATGGTGAGGAGTTTAGCCCATGTTTTTCTGGTCCCAAGTCAGCTGCCCTACCTCTACAACATAGTGGCCCCTTTAAATGTTGGTTACCCTACAGGGGGTCGAACCCGGGCTGCCTGAGTGAAAACTATTAATCTTAACAACTAGACCTAATCCTAACCACTATCACATCACAGATGTCATTGTATGGAAACAGACAATGATGACAACACATAGCAAAAAAAAAAAATTATTAATCCCATTGTCTACACATCAACTAAGATAAATGTAACCACCAAATATGCATCTTGCAGTTTCAAAAGTTTCCAGCATAATTTTTAATAAATGATGGTTCCTTCCCTCCAATTGCAAGTCCTTTGTTGAAATTTGAACATTAACAAGTGCACTTCCACATTCAGCAAAGTGTTGGCAGAGTGGTGAGTCAAAACCAATTTAGAGACATTGTCAGTAAAAAAAAAAAATCCTGGAATGTTAACAAATTAAGAAGGATCACAATGGAGTCAGAGATCCCATGTCCAAGGTGTGAGAATTTGGGTTTCATCCTCAATTTTTTATGATATTTTATTGGTGTTCTTTTTCCAGGTATTTTCAGATCAAAATTAGAATCAACTTTATGTTACGGTTTGATTGTAGTTCTTGGTAGAGATTTGTGTTTTTTGGAGTTAGTTATCTGGGGCTGGTGATATTCCCCGCAATTCCTGCATTTTTGATTAATAGACTTTTTTGTACTCACCGTGGGATTTGCATCTGGACTCGTTCGTTGAGACCTTGAGAAAATTATGACACAAAGCAATAGGCTATGGTTGGTGTGTGTGAAAAAAGATGACTAACTAAAAGCTGTAAATGAGCTCTATCTCCATCTTCTACTGCTTTTCTATTATTCATGAGAAAAATCCAGACATCCCTCTCCTTAGCGATATTTTCCTATGCTTTCAGAGGAACCCCAATGCATTCCTAGACCACAGAAGATACTCAATTCCTCCAGTGAGTTTCAGGTATATTCCAGGGCCTCTTACCAGTGGGGCGTGTCCAGAAAACCTTTAAAGACAGGTGCCTGGGAAGCATCCTAACACTTTAACTGACAACTCACCTTTCATTGTGAGGAAGCAGTGGCTCTCCTTAAAGTTACCCTTGGATGACGAAGAACATCACCCTATCTCTAAGGCTGAGCCCAGCCACTCCACAAAGGAAGCAAATTTTGGCCACTTGTGTCCAAGATCTTATTCTTTAGATCATTATCCAAACCTAATGATAATAGGTGAAGGTTGATAGACCTGTAAACTTGAGTGCTTTGTCTTTCAACTCAACATTTACTTAGCATGACTGACTGAAGCAATGCCCTCATTACTGAGGATGGGGCCCAAATCCATCTATGCTCCATTCAACCATCACTTGAGAACATAATGTCCAGATACTTAAAATTCTCCACCTAAGGCAAAGATGCCCCTCTCTGCTTATCAGTCAGTCAACGTTCCACTCATCACCAATTGTCATGAATTCTGAGTAGTGATCAAAAGAACAAGATTGCAGATACAAATGTTCAATGTTTTTTCTCTGCAGGCTTCCTTAGAGATAGTGTGAGAAGTCTGAGAGGAGCCACTTGAGGTGGTTTAAGCATCTGGTAAGAATGCCCCTGAATTCCTCTTTAGGGAGGCTTTCCAGGCATGTCCAACTGGGAGGAGACCCCGGGGCAGACCCAGGACATGCTGGAGAGGCTATCACGACTGGTGTGGGAATTCCTTGGAGTCCTCTGAGAAGAAATGGTAGAGGTGGCTGTGGAAAAAGTTGGCTGGACCTCCCTGCTCAAGTTACTGCCCCCGAGACCCACCTCTGAAACAAGTGGAAGATAATAGATGTTTGTTTGTGTGTGTGTGCACATGTGCATATATACATTGATTTCTTTGTCTGTCTTTATGTTTAGGGTCTAGCAGCCAAAATTTTAAGTTTTTTGTTCTAGAGCCACTAACAGGTGATCATGTGTAGGCTGAGTTAAAGTGCTTTTAAGAAAATAATATTTTTTTGGCCGGTACAAATAAACATTGACTACTAGGCAAGGCATTTTTTCAGACCAGCATGCTCATTTTTTCAAAGCTGTTAAAGAAAGGTGAAACTAAAAATGTGTATGCCTTTAGTCATTATTATAAAATGAAATATTGTAAGTTATTATTATTGAATATACCATCGAGGTGTAAGAATTAACAACATTCATTAGTTTGTAAGATAAATCTGAAAATATTTAATGATAATTATGAGTACTGTACCTGGATATTTGTTATGCTCTTAGGTTGATAAGCCACACAACGAAGATCTGGAAAAGAACTGTGGAAGCTAGACTTAAACAAGAGGTGCCAATTTGTAAGCAGCAGTGTGGTTTCATGCCAAGAAATAGCACCAAAGATGCCATCTTTGCTTTGAAAATGCTGATGGAGAAGTACAGAGAGGGTTAGAAGACACAAGAAATCCTTGTGCAGAAGCTCCATGATCTGCACATACCCCCCTCCATCTGTTCCTGGATCAAGGATTTTTTGACTGAACAACCACAGGCCGTCAAAGTGATTCAGTTCTGCTCCTCTGACACTCAGCATCGGCTCTCCCCAGGGCTGTGTGCGTAGTTCTCTTCTGTATACTGTCTAGATGCATGATTGCGCTCCCATTCCCCCCCTCGATCTCTATCAGTAAGTTCACCAATGACACCACTGTGGTCAGCCTGATCACGGGGGAGGATGAGTTGGCTTTAAGAAAGGAAATACAGGTGTTGGCAGAGTATTGCATCAAGAAAAATCTGGCGATGAATACTTCCTAGGTATTAGAACTGAACCACTCAAGGTGGCTGCAAGTTGGAGTAGCTCTGGTACATTCATTCTGAGATATTGCTTTTGAAAATTTTAATTCCTTTTTTTTCAGGTTTTCTTTTTTTTTTAATTTTTTTATTTATTTATTTATTTTTTTAATTCCTTTTTTTTTCCGGATGACCCACAGCACGCATGTGACAGAGTAAAAACTCAAAGCGATAGCCAACATTTTTCAGTCAGGTCATCTGGACAGTTTATTTTTTTGTGCTGAAACATTTCACCTTCCATCCAGAAGGCTTCATCAGTCAAGGAAACACACAACAAAACTGATTCTTCCCTCAACAGCTACTCCAAAGTGGAACAAACCAGTTATGTTGGTGCTAAGATTGTGTCCTTGGCACGCCCCCTCCTCCATTGCCGGCCCTCTTCCTTGTTGACAGTTGTGTCAAACTGGTTGAAAATATACAAGTTTCACTTTTTGAATGGAATTACTGAAATAAATCAGCTTTTTCACAATATTTTAATTTTATGACCAGCACCTGTATTTCAAATTTACTTTTAATCACTTCATGTGTGATTTCTAAGTGTATTAAGTGCAGGATCGTTTCTCATTTAATGAGTAGATCCCACACCGGGGTCAGCTGAGCCTCGTCCTCCTCCTCTCTGCTCCGCAGTGATTCACATCTGATTGTTCAAAAAAGCGCAGGAGCTTATACATAGTGCAAAACTTTAATGATATTTGTGTTTTTTCTATAAAATTGCCCATGACTTTGAACTTTTAGGGGCGGAGATGTTTTTTTAAGAGCAGAAGCAGAAATGCGAAGGACCAGCTCTGATGTGAATTCAAATAAGTTCAAGACAAAACCAGCTCTGATGAGATATTAGGAAGCTTTGTTTAAAATTATTTTTTTTATTTAGTTCATAGTTTTACAGTCACTCTTTGTCAGGCGAGTTGAAAAATATGCAGTGATCCTTCAAATGTGCAGATACGGCCGCACGCCTCCTCCTGTCTGCTCCAGACCACGCAGCTAAATTACTCCACCCGAACCAGTGTTGCCAGGTGAGAAATGTAGGATTATCGTTCTAGAGACATAAAATTATCGTATTTTGAGGGAAATTATCGTACACCCATCATAACCAGAATAACAAATCTATTGATGCACTATAGTAGTCATGGGTCCAATTCCAGACCGGCTCTTCTTCTTTTCTTTTCCTCACTCATGGGGCGGGCGCAGCGGACTATTCAGCCAATCATGGCCGTTGTTTTGAGGAAAACGCAAACACGTCACTTGTAGGTAACATTTAGAAAAGAACGATTGACTGGAATTTCCAGCCAATCGTGCATCTGTTTGTGGACACAGATGCCTTCAGGGTTCACAAAAAAAACTCTAACAGACAGTTGTGAGAGGCCGTTGACAACCGATTACAACCACACATTCACAGAATGGTCAAATTATCACATATTTGGCCTTTTTTGGGATTATTGATCGTACATAGTACAGAGGGCAAAATTGTCGTACAAATACAATAATTATTGTACACCTGGCAACACTGAGCCAAACGGGCAATGGAGAACCAATCTGTGCATGCGTCTAACAGAAACTGAAACTTACCACTTGTGTACGTTGACCTGCGTCAAGAGTGAGTCATTGACAGATGTAGTCGAGATAATCCGGTGATTTTTTCAAAATAAAAGTTGTTTTTTTCTGTGGGCCTGGTATAAATTGACCCACGGCCCGGTACCGGTCCGCGGC